GTACCTTTCTCTGAGCGTTCTCCCTAATTTTCTGAGCCTTTTCTACCCAGTCTGTGAACGTTTCCCCAACATTCACTGACCTTTTCTTACCTATTCTCTGAGCTTTCACTTCCTGTCTCTGGACTCTTTCTGCTTTCCTCTGAGCTTGTCGAACCACTCTCTGAGCTTTTGTAGCATTTTTCAGAGATCTAACCAGCACTCTCTGCTGGAAAGTTGTGTAGCGTGGATTCAAAGGCGAAGGTCGTTGGTAATTCGTTTACAAGGTTTGTTGTGGTGAGACGTTCAACTGCCGTGCAGTACTTCTTGTGGCTTGTCTTCAGCCAGAAAGCCGAGATGATCACTAGGAATTGACGCGGTCCCCTCCGATCTTCCCCTTGTGCTTTGCCAACAGTACAGGACACGTTTGACGCCTTTGCAATCTAACAGCTGGCTAGCGGTCAAGTGACCCACTATTAGGAGCGTCCGGCATATCGCAGACAAACAAAGCGTCTGGAAACCTCAGGCTCTAGAACCGTTCAGACCGGCCATCTGAAGGCATCCAAAGTACTTGAACGTCGAAACAACGGATACCGGAGGACGGCCATTACCAGATCACCTTTTTTTTTTTCCACCGCTTATGTGCAAAGCTGTTTACAGAATCCTACATTTTGATGTGCAGTTCTCTCAATATATCCAGGTATATTAAGGACTATCTGCCGATGGACTTAGATCCAGGTTTGCCCAACTATAGGTCATGCTCTTGAGTAAGAATCCTCGTCGTTTCGCACAACAAAGCTGATCCACTTTCGGGTAGTCGAAAATGTGAGACTGGATCAAGATAGGTCCAGTTTCCAGCAAAAGTGATCCACCGATAGTAGGTGATTCGGTTTTGGGCGGTCTACGGTACGTTCAAGAGTTTCAAGACCTTCAAGAGTCTGAATCGATCGAGATTGTGCAATTGCTCGTCGCGACCAAAATGTTTGAGAATGTCTAAGTGGTGCAACGTCTTAATGTGCAGCCTCGACATCGTCCTCCGGCCCAGCGACCCCGGCCGCCAACAACGGGAAGCCTAAAAAGGAGAAGGACAAGGGCGCCAAGGAGCCCAAGGGGGGAAGCTCTAGGGGTGCCAAGGAAGCGGAGAAGCCGGTGGACGTGTCGCGGCTAGACATCAGGTTAGGTCCAAGACGATGCCTCTTTGGCTCCGAAAGTGCATAAAGGAACGCAAGGTGCCAAAGCCGCCAGTCCTCTGGCCGATGTTTCACTAACAGGCGGCCTGGGGACAGTAGATAGTGAGATGCAGGTCACACAAAGCGGCTTTTCTAAAGTCCAAGTGTGAAAGTATTCTCGCTGATGCAGTTAAAGAAACGACGGTTTCTCTCGTTGCTTCGTTGACGGGCCCTTTGGCACGGGGAGATTGCATATCGGTCATGATTCCAAACTGGTTGCAGCAGACGTGTTCCCCGCCAGAAGATTGGGCTGATTCCGGAAAGCTGCTCCCTGGGACTTCTGCTTTAGTTGTGTGGCGGTGTGCTCACTGTCACAAGGGAGCGTCATAGACAGCACTGTCAACAAGTGGGCCCTTGAACGGCTGACTCTGTATTTCTTGAAATGCATATCAGGGGGGCCCTTGGAACTCGGTTCTCATTGCGCTGGCTCAAGGCGATAACGCCTTTCTTCCTAAACAAAGGGCAGGCTGGTGAAACTCTTCTTCTTTTCAGAGACTGAAGTGCTGAGAATGCTGATTGCAAAACTGCGTGAGTAGAAGTGCGGGTACCGCATTCCATGGAACTGCCTGACTTCGACGATCGGTTCCACGAGTTTGTCCATATTGACACAGTCTGATAAGTCTGCCTTCCTTACAGGGTGGGCAAGATCGTGAGTGTCAAGAAGCACCCAGACGCAGACAGCCTGTACGTGGAAGAGATTGACGTTGGGGAGGCGGAGCCGAGGACCGTCGTCAGCGGACTGGTCAAGTACATTCCGTTGGAAGGCATGCAGGTTCGTGTTCTTGATCAGGAAACGGGTTCTACTCAGTTCTGAGTTTCTTGCAACATTTTGGTGGACTGTATGGTGATCTCTTCGTTGCAGTTTTTGCGCTGTGTGTGCAAGAAGCCAATGTCTCTTGACGATGCGGGAAGCCGTTCTATTGTGAGCGGAACTGGTCGATCATGATCCGTTGACAGGAACTGATTTCCATATTTGAGAAGCCCTTTCAGCTTGCCTCGTATTGCGTTCCTTAAGCTACGAGATGTGAACGAACGTTCTCATTCGCCATTTCAATTGGACGCCCAGAAATGCCTTCTGAAGCTCGGCGCTCCGGCCTTGCGTAGATTTCCACCACTCGACGCCTTCTCTTTGCGGGTTTCTACCTGTAACAGCTCATAACTTTTCTACGTCCGTAAGTGGAGACAGATGGCCTCACACTCTTGAATTGTCATACATCTTGCAGAACCAAGTCATCTTGACTGTATGCAACCTGAAGCCGGTCGCGATGCGGGGCGTCAAGTCCCACGCGATGGTCCTGTGCGCTTCGGATGCGGAGAAGACGAAGGTGAGATGACCGTGCAAGTTTTTTTATCTCGTCGTAAGGAGACTTCAGAGAAAGAAGAGCACTTCGAGATGACGACGTAGGCTTTCGTCCGGAACGTTCGTCAGTTTGAGATGGGAACTTTTGAGCATTTTGACCGCTTGCGGCGAACGAAGCAGGACACTATCCAAGGATGTTGGTTCGACGTCTGCGTGTTCGTCGCAACGTTTCGGATACTCTTGTACACTCAATCAGGCGAGATTGCCGACGCCATCTGATCAGCACGTTTTGAAGTTGAGATTTAATTTTGCGGATATGGCCGGCCCCCAAGTTGAATCCTGACTGACACATATAGGTGCACTTTCGCGTCAGCTGACTGCTGGAATGGTTGTGTGCGCGGTCGTTTGGTTAACCTTCGCGCTTTCCAACGTTGCAATGTTGATGAAAGAACAACGATCGATTCGTAGAAGCGCAAGATGTTGGGATTTTCGCTCCAGCACGGCTCACGTGTTTCACACCAATCATTCTCTCCACATCGACAGATTGAGTTCGTCCGACCTCCGGAAGGTGCCAAGGTCGGGGAGCGGATCACCTTCCCGGCATACCCGGGAGAACCGGACGAACAGCTGAACCCGAAAAAGAAGGTTTGGGAAACGGTACAACCAGGGTTTGTCACGACGGAGTCGTTAGTGGCGACCTGGAAGGGGGATCCCTTCACGACGTCGGCGGGCGTTTGCACTGTTGCGTCGATACCGGGTGGCAGCATCTCATAGGTTGTTATTGTCGGAGGCTGTAGACGTGTGGCAATGCAGGTCTGTTATGAAAGGAACTACGGCGCGGACTCAGCTAAGGGTCACGTTGTTAGCACGCTGCAATATAGTCCTACAGGGCCAAGGTGGTAATCGTATTCTGGCTCCCTTTGAGTTGATCAACGGGACCGCTATTTGAACCAAAGTTTCAGATGTGTTTGACGTGGCGGCAAGCCCCACCCACCGGGTGTGCAAGCGCGAGATGCAGTATTTGTGCAGACCTACTGGTCACGGTGGCTAATTAAAACATCGAATCGCCCTTGCTCCTTTTATGCACGTCGGGTCATAGCTGCATGGCTGCAGTGGCAAAACGCCGTCGTAGTTACATGGGCCCGGATACGTTTCCATGCCATACATGGGTCGGAATCAGTGTTTGACTACCGGACGCCTAGCTACCCTACACCAAATGCTGGTGTGCTACCGTAGTCCAATAATGGTGAGTATGAGCTTTAATCCGATCATGATGGTCTCTAGAGACTCATGTGTGCTAGTGTAACCGTACAGTTAACATTTTTCGGACTAGGTTTGGCCGCGCACTATCTAGCTGAGCGGCCGGACGTACGTGTGCGGCAGCTGCGTCGAGTGACGGCGATCAACTGATAGATGGAACCGGCCTGGCTTCCCGCGGGTTGATATGCAGACCGCGCAGAAAGGCAGGTGCATGCATAAATGATCCGACACTCACGGTCGATCATTCATACTGTGAATCAGAATATGTGCATGGCATGCCGGCCGTTTCAACATATGAATCCGCGGCCTCAGTGGGGCGCGGCCCTGCCGGCCCCATACTTCATGCATAGACGGTACTATTATGAAGTTAGTAGGCGCGCCGCCGGTATGTACTACGGTATAGCTAACTGCAAAGGTAAAACGACCGTCGATCCGAGGATCGACGGCCTGCTTTCAGTTCGCATGCAATTAAGCCTGATATGTCGCGTTCGATCATGACATGATTGTCACTGAGTTCGACCATTGGCCGCCGGCTGCCGCTCTTCAGAGCTTGATCCAGAGAGCGCTTTTATGCACCCTGAAGGAAATCACGGCCGAAAGTTGTATTGCAGTGATGCTTTTAGCATGATACAAGCAGCAACGTACTAAATTGATCGGGCTGAATTTCAAAGCCACGTACTGAGGCTAGCTTTATTGAAACCAAGCCATTCAGAACACGAGCAGCAAATGATTGGGCAAACTGCAATCGCGATCGGATCATTTTAGTACGGTACCGGCCGCCGTCGTTATAAGCTTGCATGGCTAACGATCGAAACGTTTTTGCCAACTGCTATATCGAGAATGTTTGATGGCTCCGAAGCAGGCACCCTTCAGCCACGACTCTAGCAAAGCTGGGAGGACACACGAGAACGATCTTTTGCAACGCTATTTGACCTCCTAAGGAATGGGTCCGATTGTATATTGAATGCCTGATTCAGTCTGGCATACGAGAGCAGACGTCTGACAGGAACCAGGGTCTCATATGTATCTCACCCCTAGCAAAGTAGACCCCAAACGAAATGCAAATAGCTAGATATGATCTTGTCGCGTTGAAGTGTGGGGGCTGTCACTACAATAAATGCACATATTGGTGTGGGACACTTGTTTGTTGACTGCCCAACTAGATGTGGTCCTGCTTTTCTGCGTCAACCATGGTCAGAGGCTCTTCCTCTGATGCAAACACGCAAGGCTGACAGTTGTCGACGGAGAAGCGCTTCTTGAGTGTCTCAGCAAAAGAGGCCTTAGACGACCCGAGCTCATGCAAGAACAGATTGTAGTGCACCAAGATAGTGACAAGAGAAACCGTGATGGACAGGAGGAACTTCGTCTGGTCGATGTAAATACGGGTTGACCGGGAACTGCCCAACAAATACAACGTGGTCTGGAATATGGACCCGGGGATGGACCGGAGCGTCAGTTCCAGCCGCCCTCGGAAGTCGGAGTAGCTGTCCAGGGAGTTATCGAGACTGCTTCGGCGCAGGTGCAGGCCCGCTTTGTCGAGCTGAGCAGCCAAGTCCATAAGGACAATACATACGAGTCCCAATTGTGACGGTTGGACAGGGTTTACACGCTGCCTGTCTACTTCACATGTGCGGAAACC